AACGCACCGGGTGGGGGGGGGGGGGGGGGGGTGGGCCCAGCTTCAATGGCCTCCCCCCCTCCCCCCCTTCACTCCATTGTTCCCGCCTGCAGGGAGCAGGGCGGGGTGGGGCTGTGCTGTCCTCGCCCCCCCCCATCCCCCATGTCCCTGCCATCATGGCGGTGCTCCGCGGTGTCGCCACCTCCTATCCCAACGCTGTATTCGCACTCTGATTGGTTGTTTCAGCCAGCCGATCAGAGCGCGAATAAAGTGTTATGGCTGGACAGACAGATTAAGGCTTTTATAATATTAGAATGGCATGGATCTGGTATTGGGTGCCGCAAACTCCACTTTCTCTACGCCTAATGGATTGCAACCATTAGCAGAGACTGATCTTCTTCGTTGCATTCTTGTCACCACGCAATCCAGTTTTGCCTCAGTCACTGTCTTTTTTGCAAGAGGGTTTCTTTCCTAGCTATTAGAACTTTCAGGTGATTATAAACGCTATGATGATTTGGCATAATCTAGCACAGAAAATGAAATCAATTGGAATTGCTTTTATTTTTCATGGTCCCAGCCACCATCTTGCATTCATTTGCAAGATGCACTGTTATTTAAATTTGGTCATTTTTAATTTTATGTGTAGGTCCAGCCAAGCTGTCACAGCTTTCAGAGTCATCACGTACGACTATCTGCATTTCTCGCATTGTCCTGAAGAACCCTTGTCTCCAGCCAGGGAGTCTGATGGTGTAGTTAAGGGATGCCAGATACCTGACCCCAGCTTTCCTTATCACAGCCTCGTAGTCTGCCATCTGAGCCAAGAAGTATAGAAGTAGTTGAGCCAGATAATATTGCTGCTATTTCCAGAACTCCTTTTCTCATTTTTGTTCAGGGATCCTTCTTAGGAGAGACTGCTATAGGATGAAGTGTCCTTCCTTTTGGCTCAGGGGAAAGGGGTTTTACAACAGTTACTTCCTGATTCCAAGAAGAAAGGGAGGATGGTAAAGCCATCTTATACCATAAAAAAAAAAGCCCATCTATTATCTTTAAGACCAAGTTCAAGATGGCGGCAGTGGTGGTGCTCTCACCATCCCTTCGTCAACGGCATTGGTTTGCAACTGGACTTGCAAGACAACGCACTTTCACATTGCTTAAAGGGCTTTTCACAGAACGTACCTTTTGTTTGCCATGGGTTAGGGCTGTTACCTGTATGAGGTTTTTCTTTTTGGGCTCTCTACAGCTTGGAGAGTCTTTATCAAGGCCTTCTTGGTAGTTGGTGCAGTCTCAGGAGAAAAGGGGTTGCAGTGTTTCTTTATCTACATCATTGACTGTTCAAAGGAGCAACTGTGGAAAACAGGTTTAACAGCATTCAGAGGATCTTCCTCTTTCAGTCCTTGAACTTGTGGTTAACTACCAAAAAGACAGTCATGTTTCAGTACAGGGCCTCAGCTTCATAGGAGCTACTATGCATTCTCTAGAAGTGAGGGCATACAATCCCCATGCTTAATTCCCACTGCCAAAGCAGCTTATCCTCTCAGTTCAGAAGAGCCCCAGCAATGACAGTGCAATCCTGCCTGGCCATTCCTGGGTACATGGCCTGATACACTTTTGTGACAGCTCATGTCAGACTTCATCTCAGGAGCTTACAAGCCTGAACATAGTTTACTTTTCTGAGGTTGATTGTCTGGAAGTCTCATGCTACCACTGCTAATGCTGCCATCTCACACTGGAAGGAGCTGTCTTCAGAGTGGAGAAAGATGCCATTTGTTTTTCCCTATCTGTCTGTTGCCATGGTGACATGTTCTCTGAGTCTGGGGATCACATGCTGGCAACCTCCTGCTGCAGATTACCTGATCATTGGAGGAGGTGGATCTTCATCTCAGTGTGACAGAGCTTAGAGCAGCATGGAGAGCTTGCAAAAAAGCCTTCCTTCCCTCCATTTGAGGTTAACACATCCGGATGCTGACACCACTGCTGTATTCTGCATTAGCCAGTAGGGTAGAGCCAGATCCTCTGTCATGCATCAGAAAATAGTTTGTGTGCTGCACAGGTGTATTTGACATTAGACATGCCTTGCACTTCCCTGCTATCTGCAACTCCAGGGGATTCTGCTTCAGCATAATGTCTTCTTTACATCATGAGTGGAAGATGAAGGACTTGGTCCTCAGGCCTATCTTTGCAAAATAGAAATGGATATCTTTGTGAACAGGGGGTTGGTAAAAAGTGTTGGATATTCTCTTTTGGAGAGGCCTCAGTATGGGCTCCCTTGAAGATGCCACCTTGGTAAATTGTTTGGGAAATGTATATGAATTCTGTCCTGCTCCTCTGATCCTTTGATAGTCCCTACAAGGCAGAGATGGTTTTGATACCTCCTGGAGCTCTTGTGAAAGTCCCCAGAACTCTGCTGAGTTCTTTAACCTTTCAGTGCAGAATGGAGAAAAAATGTTCCACACAGATTGTGCTCTTTTTCTGTTACAGCCTGGATGCTGGATGGCTGACACTAGTAGAGGAAGAATATTCCTCCCTTGTCAGAGACGTATCTATAGCAAAATACATTCAGTCATGTTTGCTTAACCTGATTCTTGCCTGGCGTTAGGCAAGGAGCCTCATAACCGAAATGTCTTGTCCCAAACACAAAGCTATTTGTTGGAGCCTAAAGCTCCATCACCGTTATCAGAACACACTGGGTAGCTCTGTAGTCCTTCACTTATCAGCATATAACCAGTGTCATTTATTAAAAGCCTCTCAGGTTTTTTGCAAATATTAGAGAACTTATTCCACCTGGCTTGAAACTGGTCTCACCTGCTCTGTTGAGACCATTGTTTCATCTGATGCCAACATGTTCCCTTATAGATTTATAGGGTTATAGATTTTTACCTGAGGCAACAGATTAATTTACCAATCTTCTTTCCAAAGCCTTGTACCTTCCAGGAAAGGGCCTTGCTACACTACAAATATCAAGTGTGCTCTCTTTTTCTGTTTGCATATGATTAAGTTCTTTACAAACCTCCAAAGCTATTTGTCTCCTTTGATCAAATATCCAAAGGCCAAAGCAAGCTCACTCCAGAAATTGTCTAAATGAGTATCAGACTCTGCCAAGCTATACTATGAGACTGCCAAAGGGTGGCAGTAGCAACTCTGATAGAGGCACATTCTGCCAGAGTCCAGGTTGCTGTTTTTGCTTTCCTACACATTGTTCCCATCCACCGGTATTTGCAGGGCAGCTGCCTGGAGCTTGATGTATACCTTTACCAAGTATCATGGAAGCCTCCAGGACTGATGTTTAGGAAGGTGGGTCTTACCATCACTGTTGTGTAGATGTAGAAGACTCTCAGGCCCACCTCCAGGTGAATGTGGACATTACTTTGGAGTCATCCACAAATAAGAGCATGTCTGTGGCCAGTTGCTCAAAGGACAAAACAGTTACTTATGAATAGTTAGTGTTTTTTAAGATGTATTGGCCACATTACATATTTGAATCCCACCCTCCTGCCCTCCTCCTTCAGAGTCAAACACAGTATAGGACTCTGCAGTTAAGAGGAAACTGAGAAGTGGGAAGTAGGCACCACACCATTTACTTGATTGGTGTGGTACATGAGAAGAGGAGGCTTGTAGTGTGCTCTGTGTGTTACAACCAAGGCAAAACATCTTGGATTGAGGGTGTAGGCAGGAGATACACCCATAATTGAGAATGTGTGTGTGGACAATACATTGCAGAGAACTTTAGTGACTAGTAAGTAACTTTGTTCCCATACCCAGTTCTTACGTTCCTCATTTTCAGTGCACATCTCAATTCCCATTGCAGAGCAGGGAAGAGGGATTCTGTACATCTGTTAGAACAGAGTCTAAATAGACTGGTTGGCTTGTTTAAAAAGTGCAGCTTTAACTCTGCATCTTTTCGGTCAGAAAGGAATTTGAGCCTATGGTCAGATTGTTATGGACTGTGGGGGGTTTTGCTTTCCTCTGTAGCAGGGGGTGTGGCCCTCCTTCCTTAGATTTCTGGACAATATTTTAACAACGCCTGCAGCAGCAGAACACAAGCCACCATTGTCCCCCTTCTTTACTTGTGGCAAGTTAGGGTTCTGTGCCTTGTAGTTGTGCAACAGGATTGACTGCATAGTTTTAGTAGTACAAACAAGGATTTGTGTGGGATGGTTCAGATAGAGATAATTGTGATTCAGGCAGCTAGTTGGACGAGTGATTTTGTTTTATTCCTATTAGGAAATTCTTGAAAGGTAAAGTGAAGTCACAGATTTGGAGAAAGGGACATGTCTGACATGGTCTCTATTGTATTTGGCCTATAAGTATAATATGTCTGTGTGTGCATATTTGGGGTGTAGATTATGTAATGTGTGGAGTCCTTGTGTGGCTGTGTGTGGCAGCTGGAGGTCTTGCTGTTGCAGATGAAAGTCAAACCATCTGCTACCCAGAGGAAGTTTCATCATGTTGCTCTGTTGTTTGTTCACTCTTGAAGATGCTTTTCACTTTTCATTGACTGTCTTACTGTTTCTTTTGTTTGTTTATTTGCTTTTTCTGGATATTATTAAGGAAATGGCACGTTTTCTCCACCTCCACGTCGCCTCACTGTTCCTCCTCCGAAACCCAGGCGCTCCAAGAAAGGTCTGTCGCACCTGTGCTTGCTCTTTGATAATTGCATTTGGGTTGCAAGCTGCCTTGAGTTTTTACTTCTTGATTCCAGGATCTCAGAATGTTTGCCTCTTAAGAGTTGCAAGGAGTAGGAAGTGCACTCTTTCTTCCCAGTATAGCATCGTTTGTAGTCACCCCATGCTGTGACCTTGTCTGGACGTTAAATGTTCTCAAGGACAGGGAAATCTTTCTTTTTTGGGGCTTGTCTTGTGTTCTTCCAACGTCATAAATGTTTGCATGAGTTGCAATGACTGGAAAGGACTGTTTGCTTCTTTTGTTTGTTGGACCCTGTCTTGGTCTTTGTTTTTCTTGTTCTTGTTTGAAGTGTTTAGTTTGATTAGTGTTAAAAGTTAAGTTTGAACTTATGATGTATTTTCTTCCACAGCTGAGCTGGGTAAACAAGAAAATTACAAGCCTCATCCAACTGAGAACTACAGACCTCGCTCAGGTAAGAATTGCTTCTTCAAGTCAAATACTGTAATACTGAGGTTGTAAAAGAAAGTTTGGAATTAACAGCCAAGCAATAGCCACATAACTGCCTGTTAGAGAAGGGTTCGTTTCCTACTGAGAATCCTTTTAATTTGAGCTTCTGGAGGAGAGTCCTACCACAAGCTAGTGGTTTCTGAATATATTGTTTTACCCAGAGCCTAGCCAAACTGCATTCTGGAAAGGAGGAACTAGTTGCCTATGCAGTATTGTTTCAAGGGACTTGAATTTCAATGTGAAAATGCTAGAAAGGCAGAACATGCAAGGTGAGCAAATGTTGTGGGTGGGGAGGAAGGAATGGCAGGAAGCTGCCAGAATGGTTGCTAGAAGGGAGTCGAGATTCAGGTTGCTTGCTGTATAGGCAGAGCAAGGGGGAGGTGCTGTCAAAAGCAAGAAGTGGGAACAAGAATGCAGAAAGTCAGGGTAATACCTGAGAAATCTCACCCAACTGAGTCAGGTGGACATGACATTGTAACCCCAACGGGATGGGCAGTAAGTGAAGGTCTCACTGCTGTTTGGAGAGACGCTGGGAATTCAGAATGTGGGGGGACAGGCTGTCCAGTCCTGACAGCAGGAGGATCATGGCTCTTCTTTGAATGGCAGCGGAAACTGAGAAAAGGAAGTGTTCTTTCTGTGTGCTTAAGCATTAAGAACAGAGGCTGTGTTTGCCCTTTCAGTAGGAATTTGCAGGAGGATGCCAACAAAGCACCCAGTCTTGCTTTGGATGTGCATTGGGACTAGACTGAATAAGGGGAGGGCTCTTGGATCAATGAGGAGATGGGCATGAGATAGGTGAATTCATTAGGGACTGGACAGTTTGCAGCTATCAGAGTCCCTAGCTCTGCTTTTCTCCACTTCAGGTATAGCTACACTGTAGTCACATGTCCATACTAACGTTAAACAAGACAACTTAGCTGCTATTGGAGGCATAGCTAGGGTAGCCTGGGCTCCAACACCTGCCCAAGAAGCTGAGTAGATCCTAGTTGGAACTGCCCGCTGGTGTTATGGGTAGCTCGTGTATGCTTATGCTACACTGCAGTTACAGTAGCATCTGCAGGGCAGACATAGCCTTAGCATCTGCTCTGTAAGTAGAGTCTGGAGCTTTGCCTAGAAGGTGCACACTAGAGTAGGCTTTCCACTCTGTGGCTCCCTATGCTCTTCTTACCCCTTAAAGACTAGGCCTGTGCACTTGTGCAGTGTGGAGACATGGGGCTGGGTCCTCTTGGGTATCACAGATGTTCTGTGTAGGCCATAGTTGTGGGTTTTCAATTGCTGTGGCCTGACTTAAAGGGCTAACCTAGTGGGATGTGGACAGGCATATTTCCACCTTATCAACTGTGCTACATGTCATTTTCCTGTGTTAAGTCAGCAGTTCTAAAAGTGCCATGTGGTGAGGAGGTACCTTCTCACTTCCTTCAGTCACAAAAGGAAGTGAACTGCTTTCATTCAAGTTTTCAGCATCAACACTGCTTGCCCCACTTAGAGCCCAGACCTGGAAAATATCAAACCATAGATGAAAATGAGAGAGAGAGATGTAAGTTATAAACAATTGGTAAAGGTCCTTCAACAGGGAGGCCTCAGTAGCCTTTAGAAAGGAAAGTTGGATGTGCACCTGTGTAGTCCCCTGCTGGCTTTTGCCAAGTCCCTCATTTCTCCTCCCCTATATCCATGTTGCATTCCTACCCCAGCTTTCCCACCAAAAAAAGGGGCAAAGTACAGGAACAAGAGTTGCACATTAGCAGCTAGGCCAGGGGTGGGCAAAATGCAGCCCGTGGGCCAGATGCAGCCTGCCAGGCCATTCTATCTGGCTCACGGGGCCCCTAAAATTTTTAGAAAATGAATATTTATCTGCCCTTGACTGCCTGTCATGTGGCCCTTGATGGCTTGCCAAAATTCAGTAAGTGGCCCTCCGCCCATAATAATTCCCTGCCCCTGAGCTAGGCAGACAGCTGCTTGGCTCCCACTCCATGAAGCCTGGAAGTGGAGGCCTGAGGAACAGCAAGAAGATGGTGCTGGCCTGAGTGGATTGTGCTCAGTTCTGATTTGTGGTTTCACCCTGGCTTTTCAAGACCATGAATGTGTTTCATTTCTATCCCTCAGTGCACAAATGTCAGGACCTTGAAGCTGAACTGCTCGTGCCTAAGAGTATGGTGGCTGTTTTTGACTACAATCCTAAGGAGAGTTCTCCAAATGCGGATGTGGAGGTAAGCAGCAATAGTCACTTCCTACTTTTGGCTTGCTTCTCTCACCATCTCTATCCATTTTACCTTCTGACACTGGTTACCTTTGATCTGACTTGCACCATCTTTTTCCCAAGTGACTTTGAGTTCTGTGAGAGGTTCTGGAGGAAAAAACCGTGGAGGCAGATGCTTTTTATTTGCTGTACAACCTCCCTCCACCCTGTTCCTAGATGCTTTACTACAGCTATGCAAATAATTAAGGTTTTATTTGGCAGCTGAACCAAAAATCAGTTGTCTGAACTGAAATTAAAGCTTTTCTCACCAAAACAAACACCTTTATTTTGATTTCAATAGTGACCCTCTTTAACAGAAGCAAAGCAATTGAAATGAAGAAATTATTCACAAAACTAAGAAGGAGCTGTCCTTTTGTCCCACAGCCCAATGGCAGGAGCACTCACTCAGTTTGAGAGCTCCCAGTTCATATTTCTGTTCTCTCCAAGGGCATTCAGCCTACATCTTGCACTTCATCTTACACCATAACCAGCAGCCTATCAGGCATTCTAGGGTGGGTTACTCTCAATTTCTCCTGTTGTTGCTGTTCCACTTATAATACTAAAGTTATCATTGTTTGCAGGGACTGGAACTCAGTTGGCTGACCTCCAAGGTGAGTGCCTTAACCAGTGGACAGGAGAGTCATTCTCATGCTCTCTCCGAGTCATTTTATACACAGTGCCAACAACTCCCTGGGAGAGACCGAAAGCAGCCTTATCCCCTACCCGAGCATGCACTATAGACTAGAGGCTAGGACTCTCCTGTATACCCTCTCTGGAATAGTACCTCATCTGTTCTAGGATTCTGGTTGTGGTTGTTTTGCCTTTCATATGTCCAGCCAGGTCTCTGCTTTTATTTAGACAGTGATCCATTGTAAACTGCACTATGCCACTAATCTTCTTCATTGAGGAAACTAAATTACCCTTAGATGTCAACAATATGAATGGACTAAATCACATTCCATGCAGAGGAAACATCTTTGTCAGTTTGTGCTCTAATCAAAATGTTATATCAGATTTGTTAAACAGTCTGAAGTAGGGATGGGCAAAATATGGCCTGCGAGCTGTATCTGGCCCACCAGTTGATCCTGTCCAGCGTGTTAGGTGCCACTGAAAGCCTGAGGAGGGAGGGTTATGCCCCGTGCTGCTCTGCTCTGCTGCAGCCAGGGTTGGGGCTGGACTAGGCCACGCAACGCACAGACTTTATCCCTCTCTGCATCCTTTCCCCCTGCCCAGCTTCTTGTTAGTGCTGCAGCAGTGCAGTCCTGGCACTGTGGCCACTGGCTGCTGGGCCCGCATGGGATGGGGTGCAATGCAGTATGCTGAGTAGCCATCCCACACGCCAGCCTGCCACAATGAGCTGCTGCTGCCATGGTGCTGTTAAGAGGCGAGTCCATGCCGGCTGTGGTTGGGGCTCGGCCTGGGTAGCCACCCCCAACTTTCCTGAAGTTGGCAGTGGCTCATTGCAGCAGGTAGGCAGGCAGGCAGGACAGCTACTCAGTGTTGCATTGTGCCCCATCTTGCGCAGGCCCAGTTGTTGGCAGTTGTGGTGACAGAACTATACACCACTAACTTGAAGCTGGGCAGGGGTGGGGGGCATGGATGTGGGGGCCAGAGGAGTCTACGTGCTGCCCAGCCTAGCTCCTGGTGTGGGGTACAGCCTTCCTTCCTCAGGCTTCTGGACACTTGAGGATCAATTGGCATCTCCCTACTTTGCCCCTGGCTCTTCCTCCCCTGGCCCTCAAAAACTCACCAAAACTCATTAAGTGGCTCTCCAGCCCACACAATTGCTCACCACTGGTCTAAACCATGCTAATTTGCATTAATTATGCTGTCCTTTTTATTTCTATACATGTTATCATTCTGTACTAGCCATTCCATGGTTTTGCCAAAGAGGGCATCAGTCAAATTAAATCATCTTCAGTATAACATTAGACTTTTCTCTGGTCAGCCATGGTTTTCCCCTGTAATGGGGTGATTCTTTGTGGATAATGGCGCACCCCCTTGTGGTGTGGTGGTACCTGGCTACCTAGTCCGCCCTAACTTTCTCTCTGTCTCTCTCTCTCTCTCTGTTTCTCTTGCTTGCCATGTCATGGCATTAATTGAGATGTTTTCTTGAGAGGCTGCCTTCGGGAACCTAATGCCTAGGCCATAGGCACCGTGTCTCCCTATCTTGTCCCCAGCTCCAGGTCTAACTGGGCTGTGCATGGCTTTGCCCCTTCTCTCTTTCCCCTGCTCCCCCTTTCTGTCAGTGCGTGGATGCCCAGCCCTGCCGGTCTCCAATCTGTCTTAGTTCTTCCTTTTTGTCTAGGCTCTGACCAGTCTGGGTTCCCTTCCTAGGTCTCTTGCCCCAAAACTGCCAAGGTAGGTCCAAAAACCAAAACCACAGATAAAATCACAGTACACCGAGCACTCTGTTCTTTGGCCTCCTTGCCTCCCCCACAGCCATTTCAGTCCACTGAGTGTTACTACTGTCATAAGCAAAAAAAGAACAGCGAGCAGGCCTATACTGGGCTCTCAAAACAGTCTGTAGTCCTCAGGGTACTCCACTTCCCCAGACACTTCTGGGGTCACCGTGAACAGTTCCTAATCTGTTTAGATCTACTCAGCTCTTACCACAGGGCTCCTCCAGGGTGAACATAAAACTGATCTCAGTTCTTTGTATTCCCTTCCCAGGGACTTCCAAGGCACAAAAAAGGGAAATCCTCAGTACTTCCCAGGCACTTGCTCCTTCATTTTGAGTTGACGGAAGTCCCTTCTCTCAGGTAGCAGCTTCCTGGCTGGAGGGGATTCCACCCTCACCTCCCTGCAGGTCTGTCTCGCTCTGCCACTGTACCTACTTTCCTTCCTCTGGCCTGGGGAGAGTTTATATTTTAGACAGCCATGCCCACCTGGTTATCTCACTGGGCTTTCTGCTCCCTGGGTACAGTTGTGATCAGTGTCTTGCTCTCCTCCCCCTGCTGGGTCCTGCAGCTGGCTAATTCTGGGCTGAACTTTACAAGTGTGAGCCTCCAGCCCAAGGCCTGGCATCTCCCCTCTGGGGTCCCTCCCCCCACTCTAGTGCAAGCTGCTTGCTCTCTTCTGTCCAGCTGGGTCTTCCCTTGACAGCCGAGGTCCTCTCGACCTGGTCCATGCTGGCTGGGTCCATCTTACAGCAGGTAATTGTTCCCTCCTCTGGGCTGTAAAGGTTCAGGCCTTAAAGTGGTCCTGCTGCCTTTCCTTCCCTCGCCCCCTCTCCTCTTTAACAGAGCTAGGGTTACACCTTCTGTTACACCCCTGTTTTCCAGGATCTGTTAAAAGTCAACTTGTTGGTCTTGGAGAATGCTATGGTTAATTATTAGGATTCTTTTGCATGCAAATTATCCAATCCAGCTAGTGTAACAATATTTAACTTCAATAGTTTATGTTTTGAGCCATTTTTCAGGCTTTTTTTTCTCTGCCTTTTCACATGGTTTTTGTATTTTGGCTCAAAACAGTTTGCGAGTTGTTACATTCAACGTACACCTCATCACGAAGCTATGTAAGGTCATACAGGATTGGTTGGGGCAGATTAATGATCTGGCAGTACTATGCAGCACTGAGGGCTGTTGTCCATTCCTTTGTCTTCAGCTGAAGAATGACACCTTTCTGGAAGATGTCAAGCACAAATAACAGTACAGCCTCAGTACAGGAGGATTAACTGGATGGGTGGTTTTCAACCCTTTTCCCCCTTTTTTTTTGTCAACCCTTTTTTGTGGACCCCTAAAAAAATTTGAATGGAGGTGCAGACCCTTTTGGAAATTTTGAGTGGACCCCTTTGAATTTGTAAGTGTGGATATTCACATACTTTTGATTGCTCATAGTCATCTTTCGCAGACCCCTTACACAGTCTGTGGACCCCCAGGGGCCTACAAACCTCAGGTTGAAAGCCACTGGACAACATAATCTAACAGCTCCTTCTGAGTTTAAACTCTGTTACTTTGTCAATTTGAGTTGAAGGTTGAGTTGGCTTCCTGGGGAAAATAACAGCAAAGCTTCTGTTAAATAGACAAGAGAATGACCAGGCCTAAGTAAGCACTGAGCAGCCTATTTACTGCATCCCCAGACCCTGAAGAGTTATCTTGTACATGGCCCAGGAGTTGCCTCTGACGACAGAACTAGCTAGGATTGTCTATTAAGCCTGAAGAAACAGAGCTGTCTTGCACAAAACCCAGGCTCCCCTGAAAGATATTTGCATCCAGGGGATTGCCCTTCAGCCTTGGGCCTTGGAAAGACCGTGACTGCTGACAGGTGAAGGAGAGAGAACTGAGACATCCTGTGTCACCACAGTTGTTGTTGTCAGCAGTCCCTCATGGCTGAGGATGATCACTCCCACAGGTCAAGTAAAGGGTTGTTAATGAATCCACTGATGGCTAAGAGGCTGATCCTAGGGCCACAGACTCTCTGGTTGATGCTACAGGTGAGGTTAAAGGGAGTGTCAGACCATGGATTTCTCGGTCTTGTTTCCTTTCCTTCTATGCCTTTTGTTTTTCTGCCTCCAGGATGAGATGGTTTTTCTCAAAGTAAGACGTACCTTCTCTCGCAAGGTCTTGCCATGTGGCCCTGTATTGGGCTTGTTTTTCCCAATTTGTCGTGTCAATGCAACACTTTTTAATGCTTGCCTTGAGGGTGTCCTTGACCCCTGCATGCCCTTTGTCCTTGACTGGGTTGGGAGTATAGCAGTTGTTTTGGTTAGTGTACATCAGGCATGTACACTCAGTGTCCTGTCCATTGCAGCTGATGTTGAAAAATCAGCACTTCCATAGTGGTGGTGTTAGTGTCAGTGAGGACACTGGCATTTGTGTGATGATCCTCCCACTATGCCAAGAATCCTCCGGTAGCACTGGTGAAGGCATTCCAGGCTTTTCAGGTGGTCCCTGTAGGTCACCCAAGCTTTACAACCATAGAGAAGAGTTGGGATTACCACAGCCTTATATAGTAGGAGCTTTGTTCAAG